GTGTAGTTATTTAACCGGCCAATCACAACCTTTTTTTGTCTTGTGACCCCTGATGAATAGGAGTTTAGTGCCATTTGTTACATTTGAGGCCCAAAAGCCACATTTTTTTTTGTGTCGTAAAAATAAAGATTGTGTAGCTTTTTTTTCTTCTTTTCATCCCAATTAATCATCATATTTACTAAAATAGTATAAAACTAGTTCCACAACAAGCTACATCAGGAAAAGGCTATCTATTCAATTTTCAATTCAATTCAAAAGCTTTATTAGCATGACCATATTTACATACACTTTTTTTTTTTTTTTTCAAATTGCATAATACAGTTAAATAATTGTCATGTGCTGTTTTTCTGCAAAACGACTACCTTTTTTATTAAAACGCTTTACATTTTTCTGACCTATCTTTTTTAATTCAGGACAATTCTTACATTTTATATTTTTCTACTTTTACTTAAAAAAGTACTTCTTCCACCAATGTAGATATTCTTGTGTGCCAATATAAATTCAGGAAGGAGATTATGCTGAAAATCCCATGTGTCCCTGTGACCTTCTGACCATATCTCCGAACTCCTCAACCTTATGAATAAGTCACATCCATAGATTTGAGTATGACAATAGGTGAGCGGAGGGTGGCGGTGGCAGGCAGCCAAGTGAAATAGGCTGTTCAGTGCTTAAGCGTGATGGATTGGTGGCACTAGCCTGGCATAATAGCTCTGTAGTGGACCAGACCCCTGCTCAAAGAACAAGCTTATACATCATGATAATGCAGACACCCAGCTAATACTCAGCCCCCACATGCTACAAAGGTACCGCTTCCTACTTCCACAGCCTTGATGGATTAAGACAAACAGGTTATTTATGGAGCGAGCCAATGCTTCAGGAGCTTGTTTGTGCCTTGCCCACACATCTGTTTGCTGAAGGGGAAAGAGGCTGGACGGCAAGGACTTCTGAATCTAACATTACCCTGCGAGCGGCTGGCATGAAACAAATCCAAATCAAACTCAAAGCAGGTTGATACGGAACAATAGCTTTCTGTCCTTTTTTTAAACTTGAAAAGATTTCTTGTTTTTGTAGTGTGTGGGCTAGATGAGAGCAGTTACAAAGTGATATTGTTTCAGCTTTAAAAGCCAAAGGGAAAAATAGCTATCCTATTTTTACTTTCTTTATCGCCAAATTACCATACTATATTAATAGTTGTGTACTGTACGCTGTTGTCACTGTTCTGCTCCTTTGTTGAAGACTATGTTTGTACCTTTTGTCCCTTCTGACCTACCGTAGTTTTGCTCGTAGCCAGAAAATCCTTAAAAATCTAGCCGTTTCTGCTGTTAACTTTACTTTCAGGCCCACGGAAAACATTTTCAGTATCATTAAGATGCTAAGTTCCTATATAACCTACAACAATCATAAACAAGGGAAAGTGCTAGCTGACCTAGTCGCTAGCTAACTTAATCACAAGCTAACCTAGTTGCATATTCGCTAGCTCAAGTTTAATGCTGAGTAGTTTTTAAAATGTTGTATTGAATTGTTAGATTATATGTTTTTGTTGTTTTCTAATATGTTTATTTTTAAAAATACTTTAAATTAAAGTTGTTTGTATTGTAGTTTAACAATACTTTCTTCAGCTTGAACCGGGAGATTTGCTAAGTATTTATCGGCTGAACCCTCAAGAATATAATAACGCTCTGCCTGTTCTGGGGTCACATTGCACTTCTTGTTATTTATAATGCACAAAGAGCTTTAAAAAGATAAACAGTACTTAATCCAGCAATTTAAATGTTTAATAGTTTCAAACTGAGAATAGATAAGTAGCTATCCATGCAATATTTGGTAGCCGATTTCTCCTAACTAATAATTAATGGGGTCCCAGATTGACTGACATGGGTGGAGTTATTGTTTAATATATATACCGTCTGACCTCTGTTGCTGCAGCATCACTTGTTTCAAAATAGATCCATGAAGTCATACTGTTAAGGTCAAAATGTTCCTTTATAGGAGTCTTTGAACCAGTCGTTGTTATTTACATAATTTAAATCATCCAATTTTGGTATTGATAGCCTTGGAAGCCTCATATTTTCCAAATTGAAAGGGGAATACTTTGTCTTGCAGTTCATTAACGGCCCGTCCACACAGCAGCTTTAAAAAAATCTTGGAAATCTTGGAGGTGGGCGTGTCTGAGAGCTTGGGGATTTTTTGTGAGCAACGCGACCAACAACCAATCACATGAATATCCCGCCCCCGACATACAAAGCAAAAAACCCCTGGGATTTTATGCGAGCAATATATATATATATATAAACTCCCCAAACAGGCGAAAACCTACCAGTTTCACCCACTGTCTCTGCCACCTCCCTCCATGCCTGGTTCCTNTTTACAGAGATGCTGTATGAGAAACCAATGTGAGTTTGGAAAATTGCACATTCCACTGATCATAATTCCATTGTTGAGGTCTACTAGAATAGATTTATATTGTGCAATTTTCCAAACTCACATTGGTTTCTCATACAGCATCTCTGTAAACTATGTGTATTCACTGAATTTCACTCTCTGCCTTTAACGGCTCGTTGTAGCTCCAATAGCTCCAGCCCCCACCCTCCCTGTGAGCACAGTGTGCTCTGATTGGTCGGAACGTTGTGAATCGCGCTGAGCTCCGTGGAGGTGTGGTTTCGTTGTTTAGCGACAGCGAAACACAGCCAAACTCATCCAGAGCACACACAAAGTCACAGCCGAAGTAAAAACAATAAGTGTGGCTTGATATTGAGTAAGAAAAAGGTTGATAAACGCTGTGAGAATGGTCTGCAATCCCAACTGTCTGTTATCAACCTGCAGCCAGGGAGGAGAAATCAGCAGAGCTGCTTGCACTGAGTGTGTGTGTGAGGAAGTCCGTGGATTGGTCAATTTGGACCAATCAGCGGGGGCTTAACGTAACGGCTCCGCGGACGTAACGTATAGGCTCCACGGATTGGTCCATTTGGTTCCGGGTAACGCATGACATCATGCGGTACCCTGAAGAATCAATGGATAGTGACGTGTCTCCAACGAGGCGGTTTGGGGAGGTATTTTCTGTGTTAGAGTTTTACTCGCTACAGGGTGTACTTTGAGGGTTTTGACTCTGCAGACCTTTTACATGCATAAAAACATTCATAACACAAGGGGACGGGTAATAACCGGAAAAGCATGACATGGGACCTTTAACTACATGCAGAGCACAATAATAAATCCACAGAAAGCCCAATTTAAATTGCCCCAAAAGCTCTTTTGAACCAACTCTACTTTAGTCTACTTGACTCTTCTACATTGTGGCATACTGTAAACAACGTCTGTATTATTTATTTGTCAAGAGGATATATTCAAAGTAATCCTTGAATATTATACAATTTCCATGAATACTTATGTCTAGTTTCATCCCCAGTAAGACATGAAAGCCAACATTCAACCGTGTGTATCAGCGCAACAAACATAACATGAATCCCTCAAGAAGAAGATGCCTGCTTTGCACTCGTCACCGGTCTTTTGTAAAATAAATATGCCGCTTTCCTCTCAGGAAATGGTTGGGTAAAGCAGCTCTTATAACAAAAAGCCTTTTGAAACACTCCCAAACAAGTCTGTTCAACATTTAATTGCAGAACAGAGGACTGTGAGTGCTTGGAACATTTTACTCACGGAAATGAGGGCTATTACAGATCTAAGGAAGAAAAGTATAAATGCCCAAGGACAGGTTATGGTGTCCCTGCTATCTTGTAGATTGATAGCTGTAAAAATAAGATCTTGGATCTGTTTACCAGGCAATCATCGTGGGACCTCGTTTGCACAAACAAATCTGAAAACAGCATCTGAGAATATACTAATGGCTCATGCTTGCAGGGCCCACACAGGTCAAATCGATGGGATGCTTTGGCTTCGAATCACTCTTCTAATGTATTGCCAAGGGTTTTCCCAAGTCGCCCAATTTACAAGTTGGGAGATTTGTGTACGCCGATAAAGCTAGAGCTCAAACTTTGATTTGCTTGCCCTTTCTCATCCTAAAATGCTCCATAATCGAACATTAAAGGCAGAGAAAGATTAGAAAGCTATGTTTTCATGTCGGGCAAATGCCAGCAGATATACAGTAGTTTGGATGTTTTATTGGCATCTTTAATTCATTTAGTGTAGAATATGATATTGTAGATGGACACAATCAACAAACACAGAACTAACACATTCTTGCCTTAGCGAAATAGTTAAAGTACCAAACCTCACACTGATTTAAGCTAGGGCTGTCAAACGATTAACATTTTTAATCAGATTAATCACAGCTTAAAAATTAATTAATCATGATTAATCACCATTCAAACTATGTCCAAAATTTGCCATTTCTTTATGTATATTGTTGTGGGAATGGAAAGAGAAATGAAAGAAGGCGGATATATCCATTTAACATACATGTATGTATGTATGTTTATTATAACATTGTTCTGTGTGTCAAAATGAAAGACAGCCCACACACCTATCACTCATCAAACCGTGGGGTCTTATTTCATTACATATATACATCGATACAACATTACGTGTTGATAGAAATCAACACGTAATGTTGTATCGACGTATATAGAGATGTACTACCGCAAAAGTATTCTCCGTCAGGACTTCCTGCAACAACAACACGCCGTTATCTTGATTCTGATTGGCCAGAAGACATTATCAAAGATGTTCTATTGAGAAGACGATCACTACGTGCCAAAAGTTTTCAAAACCGTTTCTAGTCTTCGGTATTTCCAGACAAGCGGCTACTGAAATCAATCTTACTAACTGCTGTCTGTGCAATTTACTCGGCGCGAGTTGGCGGACTTTATTTTGCTTACTCTAACATCATTTTTCATGGTGGGGCTAAGGTGGGGCTAAGCCATTTCTTGGTATGGCTGTAGCCTACCCCAGCGCTGCCACTGGTGGGATGTATGGGGCGGGCCATTCTGCACATGCGTTAAATATTTTAATGCAATTAATTCAAAAAATGAATTGCCGCCGTTAACGCGATAATTTTGACAGCATTAATATAAACATAAAATCATCAAACAGGAAGCTTTGTACAAAATTCATGTTCTTACAGCTGGCATCTCCCTCGAGGCCGAGCACCTTCCTGTACCCTCCGTGAGAGAGCACCCTCACCAGGGTCTGCGCTGTGAAACACACCATATCCTACACACACACACACACACACAATCAAACAGAGCACTCTCATAATAACGTAACATCAGAGACAAATTACGGGCCAAAAGTTGTATTTACAAGTATTAAAAGTAAGCATAGGACACCAAACCAACTGAGACCCGTCTGTCCGCTGCATCTACACACACACTGTACCACACACAACTACACACTGTACCACACACACCTACACACTGTACCACACACAACTACACACTGTACCATAGGCTTGGGCGGTATGACGGTATTACGGTATACCAGGGTATTTGGAAATACCGTCGGTATGATTTTCAATACCGTGACGTCACAGACTGTGCGCCAAATCACAGATGCGTTTCATTCTATTACACTGACACGGAGTTTTGACAGGGACGACATTGGTTGTAATGCACAGCACGCGCCAGCAGAGGGCAGGGGAGGGCAGTCCGTCTTTCCCGCTCTCAGAGCTCAGCACAGAGCTGAGCTGAGCAAGATGGCGGCAGCATTTGCCGGCCCGAACTCGGACAACTAGTAAAAAAGAAAAATGCCTCTGTGCCTGTTTGGGACTATTTTGGGTTTACTCGTCGCCAGTGACTTCATCCAGCACAACGAGAGACAGAGGCACTTCTTTGGGAATGTTTAAGACGGGGTGAGTGAGTGTAGAGATGTAACAATGTTGTTAGTTTCAGAGATGTATCTCTACTTTTGGTTTACTTGTGATAATCCTCAAGTTACGTACCGTGTAATTCATTAAAGTTGTATTTGTATATTGGTTATGTTCTTCATGCGCATGTGTAAGTCCATCTGAACCATCACTCCCTTCACACCATCGTCCATCTCATGTCCGGTCCACTTTCCTATCACAACGTGGATCAAAGTATGTCTAAAATAACAATTACCTTACCCTCGAATTTTCCTCGTCGGAATCATCATTTATGTTATAATCCATCGCTTAATAACGACCACACACACACACGACACACATCTGGACATCGGGACAAAATCCACACACACCGAGTCACATATCCGGCAACACACCATCGTCACCACATTCCACACACAGTAACCATTCTCCATCCGTAGGCCGCTATACTGTAAAAAAAGTATGGCAAGTATGGTACGCACTGTAGTATAGCACCATATCACAGCCATATACTGGCCATAGTCTCGAGGTTAACTTACTCCAGTAACGAGGGCGGTTTTTTAAAAAAAATGAGTGAAAATAGTTGTCGGGGTGGTATTACATAAAAGGGTGGTCGACAGGTGATCCTTAGTTAGTCTTGTAATACTGAACCCCAGCTAGAACTCAAACCGAGTACACACAGCAAACCGCCCGTTTATCTACGAAGTTGACGACTATAATATACAAGCGACACATTTTACGTCGGCTCCGGCCACTCTGCGAGCGCTTCACGGCGACTGCACGCAGCGTTCACGTTTTGTTAGCGATACATACGATCACTGTGTAACACGTTTACCGTGAAACTCTGCCTATGTCCCTGCGCCAAATCGACACAGGACTTGCAACGAAAGGTATCGACTCCGATTCATTGCTTATATAGTAGTATGTAATTTGTAAAAGGCTCCTCGAAGACAATTTATGAACTGAATAACTTTTCAAACGTATCAAAGTGATTACGAATAAACCGTTAATAATAAAGGCACGGTACCAATTTTGGAATAAAGGTAAACTAAAGTAACCGTAATGAGCGGGGCACTTACAAGATCGTGCATTTACGAAAACAAAGTAAATTGGCAGGCTGGAGCGCTGAATGTCCCATTTGGTAGTGGTCAGGCTAAACGTATCCTGATTTTTTAC